TTATTAAGTCATTAAGCCACTGTATGTATAGTAACATTTATGCGGCCGACTTTCCACTAAAAATTAAAAATAATATTGAAAAAATTAGCTGAAGCTATTGAGTCGCGTGCTAGTGCCCAGTCAAAAATTATCAAATCTAATTTATCAAAATTTCAAAATACTAAATTTAAAACAGACGATTTATTCAAATAAAGCTGAGAGGGTGGGCTGGATCTAAAAGTTGGGTTAGCAGAAAAAACAGACGACGAATTCAAACCCATACCCATACCCAAATAATATATACCTTTAAAAAATCATGCAAACACATAAAGCGATCAGTGTTGTTGTTACACGTTATGTAGCCAATCCATGTTGGATTCGTGACAAAATGCCACCACGATACTACGTACCGCGTGGCTTATTTTTGTTTTTTCTTTTTTTACTACTATTCTCTTTTTTGATCTTTTACTTGATTTGTTTATCTGTTTCGGTATATATAATTTCCGAATCATTGCCATCTAATTGAGCAATGTAAAATAGGCCTTTATGTATTTCGAGCATTTCCTTTTCGTATTGCATTGGCCAGACTTGTCATATCCCTAATTTTAAATAAAAATAAATTTAAGGAATCGATTATGTTAGAAGTACAAACATATTAGGTATGAAGTGACTATTAACCATTCTTACCAATTACCCTCACATTTTATTTTGGAATGTTAATATATTGGGTTTTTCGAGTTGATCCAACTATTGTCCAAGTTTTTTATTTTATAGTACCAATAAATTCCTTACAGATTTGTATCAACTGTTTATTTTGATCCATTTTTTATTGACCCACTCTAAAAAAATATTCGTCAAAATAATCAAGTATAACAATTTGTAAGGTTAGTTATACAGTATATCAAAATCATAGTGATGATTAAAGTTTTATTAACTGCTAATATAAAAATAATACAACAAATTTGATACACGATAATGTAAATATCTACAAGTTATCTTCTTGCTCCTTATTCCAACTCGACCTTGGGGTTAAATACCCAGCATACCTAGCATTTAATAATTCCTCCCAGTAGCTAATAACCACTTTCGAAGATTTGTAATTTCTGAAAGTCAATAAGGGTGGGTCAATTAAAAAATGGTCAAAAATAATGTTAAAATTTATTTGAATGGTAGCAAAGATATCACGTCAATGTCAAACATAGAAATTGCTAGCTAAGAATCTGAAATATCAAAAAAATAAAATGAATGTTAGATAGAATATGATATAATGTATCAGCGAGGCTTATTCCTATATGCATTGACCACTATTTAAATCACGATTAATAAGACCTTGAGAATGAATTATCCAAATTCTAAAGCAATGCAAAGTATTTATCTTTCTATTCATTTCTATAGGAACCCAAAATTGGACAATAATAATTCCCGTTGTTTTTTAATAAAAGATAACTTTTCAACTTTGATCAAACCCATTTTTTGAAAGGTTGGGATTTTTCAAACTTCTATTCTCTTTTTTCAATTTTCTATTTTCTTCTAGCAATGCCTGTTTTTCATTATCTAATTCTTTTGTGCGTGCAGTCAGTTGTTCAACATAAACCATCACCTTATCGAGTTGAAAACTTTCCTTAGATTCAGACATTTCTTTTTTCATTGTTTTTATTTGATTTTGGAGCTCGGAATTTTCCTGTTCTATGGTTTTTATTTGATCTTTGAACTCGGATTTTTCTTGCTCTAATAAATGGATTTTCTCATATAATTCTTGATCCTCAGAACTTGATCCTAGATGTAGATCAAGGTCTCGGACATTATTCTTCTCTTTTAGCTCTGCATTCTCTTTTTCCAATGATTTAATTCTTTCTAAAAGTTCTGTATTCTCCTTTTCTAATAAAATATTACTTTCTGAAAGATTTTTCATTTTTTGTTTTGTTTTATCACTCTCACTTCGTAAGTAATTAATCTCCAATATTTTTGCTTTTATCAATCGATCTTTATTATTAGTATTAGTCGATGGTGAAGAAACATGAGAAACAACCATGCTCGGTCCTAATGAACTAGTTGAACTAGTACTGACGTCTAAATTTTTAGAATATGATCCATCGGCAATTATTTCAGGTGCTTTTTGACTTGCTATAAATGTG